ATTTTGGATTTAACATCCACTCATCAGGGAGACCATGTACCATTTGTATCTTTGCTCTTGGCTTACCTCGCTCAACATGATTTCTTCTAGCTCCATCCATTTCCCTGCAAATGTCATTATTTTGTCATTTCTAATGGCTGCATAATATTCCATTGTGTATAGACACCACAATTTTTGGATCCATTCATCTGTGGTAGGACATCTGGGTTGTTTCCATATCCTAGCTATTGTGAATAGTGCTGCAATAAACATGGAGGTGCATGTGTCCTTGTATATTGGTTCCTGTTGTTCAAAATAGATGCCTAGAAGTGGTATGACTGGATCGTAAGGGAGGTCAATATTTAGCTTTCTGAGGACCCTCCAGACTGCTTTCCAAAGTGGTTGTATAAGTGTACATTCCCACCAGTAGTGTAATAGGGTTCTTCTTTCTCTGCATCCCCTCCAGCATTTGTCATTGGCTGACTTGTGGATGTGGGCCATTCTGACTGGGGTAAGGTGGTATCTCAGGGTTGTCTTTATTTGCATTTCCTTCACAACCAGGGATGGTGAACATTTCCTCATGTGTTTCTTTGCCATTTTTCTCTCTTTATCTGAGAAGTCTCTCTTTAGTTCCCTTGCCCATTTAGTAATTGGTTTGTTAGGTTTGGGAGGGATTAGTTTCTTGAGTTCCCTGTGTATACTGGATATTAACCCCTTGTCTGATATATTGCTAGTAAATATTTTTTCCCAATTAGTTGGTTGTCTTTCTAGCTTGGTTGCGATAGCTTTAGCTGTGCAGAAGCTTTTTTTTTAAGGTAGTCCCATTTGTCAAGTCTCTCTCCAATTTGTGTGACCCTGGGACTCTGTTCAGGAAGTTCCTTCCTGTGCCTATAAGTTCAAGTGTCTCTCCTACTCTGTCCTGCAGTAGTTTCAGAGATTCAGGTTTGATGTTAAGGTCTTTAATCCATTTTGAGTTGATGTTGGTGCATGGTGATAGGCTTGGGTCCACTTTTAGTCTTCTGCATGTGTCCGCCCAGTTTTCCCAGCACCAGTGGTTGAAGACATTGTATGTCTTTGGCTCCTTTGTCAAATATCAGCTGACTGTAGGCCTATGGATTTATTTCTGGATCTTCTTTTCTATTCTATTGGTCTTCAAGTCTGTTTTTGTGCCAGTACCATGCTGTCTTTGTTATTACAGCTCTATAGTACAGTTTGAAGTTCGGCATGGATATCTCACCCATGTTGTCTTTATTCTCTAGAATTGTTTTGGCTATTCTAGGTCTTTTGTTGTTCCATATGAATTTTTGGACTGTTTTCTGTATTAAGTCTGCCTATCCAAGAGCATGGAAGGTCTTTCCATTTCCTAGTGTCTTCTGTAATTTCCTTAAGTTTCTATAGCTTTCATTAAATAGTTCTTTTACATCTTTGGTTAGGTTAATTCCTAAATATTTTATTTTGGGGGAGGTTATTGTGAATGGGATTGCTTCCTTTATTTCCCTTTCTGCTTGTACATTGTCAGTGTACAAGAAGCCAAGCCTTACATTTGCTAGGCAGTTGATCTGCTTGTAATCCCAGTACTTGGGAGGTAAAGACAGGAGGAACACAAGTTGAAGGTCCAGCATTTGCTCATTATTAGTGATACTGAGTTTGATTCCATAGTTAAAGTGTTAATTGCTAGGTCTCTCAATGGTAAACACACACTATTTTGTTGTTTTTGAGAGACAGTCAGTCTCACTGTATGATCCAGGATGGCCTTGAATTTGTAATCCTCCTGACTCAGCCTCCCTGATACTGGGTTTATAAATGTCTTACCACCATACCTAGCTAAACATACACTTTTTTGTGTCTAATAATGGAGCTTAAATTCAGGCCTTAGGCACCAACCATTAGCTTTTTCACTCAAGGCTGAGCACTACCACTTGAGCCACAGCTTCATTTCTGGCTTTTTGCTGATTAAATTAAGAATTTCACAGACTTTCCTGCCTGGACTGGCTTTGAACTATGACCATCAAATCTCAGCCTCTTAAGTAGCTAGAATTACAAGTGTGAGCCACCAGTGCATGGCAAGCATACACTTTTATTTTTGTCATTAATTAGTAATATTTAGGAGGATGTCTTGGCATCTTAAAAACATCTGTTCCTTAACAAATTTTTGTTCAATGGTCTTTATATTTCAGTTGTTGTGTGTGGAAGTACTGTAGTTTAAATTAAGGGCCTTGTTCTTCCTAGACAAGTACTCTACCACTTGAGCCATGCCCCAGCTTTTGATTTAATTTGCTTTGTAATTATTTGACTTTTTTGTATATTTTTATTGTAAAAATACTGTACAGAGGGGTTACTATTACATGAGTAAGGTAATGGGTACATTTCCTATTGAGCATTGTTACCTCCTCCTTTGTTTTTCCCCCTACAATCCCTTCCCTCCCCACTTTCCTAACTCCTCCCTCCTTCCTCTCCCCACAAGTTGTAAAGTTCGTTTTCAACATAGTGTCTTGTGCATCTCACTGTTACAGTGGGTCAACCTGTATCCTTATTTTAGCATCTCGGTATTTCCTTTCCCCTCCCCAAATTAGAAAGAAATGTATATATAAGATGGAGGGCACCAGAATCAAATACAGTGAAAACAGGTATATAGCATGGGGGAAGAACATAAAAAAGAAACAAAAAAAAAAATCACATGGTAGGAAATGGCACGCTGAAGGGCTTAAGGGAGAGCACCCAGGCCTAGAGTTCAAACCCCATGACCGACAAAAAAAAAATAATCACATGGTACATTATAGGTACATTAAAAATAACAGCAAGAAAGATAAAACCACTTGTGTTCCTATCTTGGGGTTCATTTCGCTTAGCATCATCTTTTTTTTTTTTTTGTCGGTCGTGGGGCTTGAACTCTGGGCCTGGGCGCTGTCCCTCAGCTCTTCAGCTCAAGGCGAGAGCTCTACCACTTGAGCTACAGTGCCACTTCCGTTTTTTTTCTGGTGGTTTATTGGAGATAGGAGTCTCACGGTCTCTCCTGCCCGGGCTGGCTTTGAACCGCTATTCTCAGATCTCATCCTCCTGAGTAGCTAGGATTACAGGCGTGAGCCACCAGCGCCCGGCTAGCATCATCTTATATGGTCATATGTACATAGCTTTTGACCTTTTCTGCTTGTATTTGAATTTTTTTTTTTGGTCAGTTGTGGTGCTTGAACTCTGGGCTTGGGTGCTATCCCTGTGCTCTTCAGCTCAAGGCTAGTGTTCTGCTCTACCACTTAAGCCACAGTGCCACTTCCAGTTTTCTGGTGGTTCATTGGTGATACGAATCTCACAGACTTTCCTGCTTGGACTTTGAATCGCAGTCCTCAGATTTCAGCCTCCTGAGTAGTTAGGATTACAGACGTGAGCCATTGGTGCCTGGCTAACCTAGGTTTTTGGTGTGTGTGTGTGTGTGTGTGTGTGTGTGTGTGTGTGTGTGTGTGTGTGTGTGTGTGTGTGTGTGTGTGTGTGTGTGTGTGTGTGTGTGTGTGTGTGTGTGTGTGTGTGTGTGTGTGTGTGTGTGTGTGTGTGTGTGTGTGTGTGTGTGTGTGTGTGTGAAGGCCTTTGAATAGAACTATCTAGCTCAAAGTAAGAAAAATATATAACCTGGCTTTTTGTCTATTCACCTTTTTCCTCTCCCTAAGAAGAACTTACATGAATGCATGAGCATGTTCATACGTCTATCCACATAATTGCTAGTAGTATCATAGTGACCTTTTGTCTTTATAAGTTTATTATCTCTTAGGGGCTGAGAAGGTGGCTCAGTGGTAGGGTGCTTGCTTTGCATGCATGAGGCCTTGGGTTCAATTCCTCAGCACCACATAAGCAAAAAGAAAAAAAAAGCTGGAAGTGGCGCTGTGGCTCAAGTGGTAGAGCGCTAGCTTGAGCTGAAGAGCTGAGGGATAGTGCCCAGGCCCAGAGTTCAGGCCCCACGACCGGACCCCCCCCCCCCCCCCAAAAAAAAGAAAAAGAACTTTATTATCTCTAGATTTTTTTTTTTTTGGTTGGTCTTGGGGCCTGAACTCTGGGCCTGGGCATTTTCCCTGCGCTCTTCAGCTCAAGGCGAGCGTTCTACCACTTGAGCCACAGCACCACTTACAGTTTTCTAGTGGTTTATTGGAGATAAGAGTCTCACAGAGTTTCCTGCTAGCTTTGGACCATGAGCCTCAGATCTCAGCCTCCTGAGTAGCTAGGATTACAGCCGTGGGCCACCGGCGCCTGGCTAGAATTTCTTTTAATTTTATGAACAATGCCACATAGTCCCCATCCAAAAAAAAAAAATTCTGACTTTTACCTGTGATATTCTCAGCTGTATAGAAAAATAGTTCTTCTCTCTTTTCTTGTACATTCAGCCTTAAAGTCTTGCCTGGGCCTTAGAGTTTGTTAGGTACCATTGTGCTAATTCAACCACTGCCCACTTATTATTGACTTCATTCTATATTATTCTGGTTATTTACTTAAACATACATGTTCCTTTCTATTAGCCCTCCATCATAGCTCATAGTACATGATACTTGGTAGGCACCCAGTGTATAACATATTTCAGTAAAGAAGGAATAAGCCCAAATGTGTATTCCAATGGCTTAAAGCCATAATCAAGTGGGATTTGCTCAGATATAGTGATCTAAGCAGAAAATGTGAGTTGCCTTAGTTATTATGGAACTGCAAGTGGAATCCAGAGTAGTCTGAGTTGGAGACTCTGGGCCATCCTGAGATGCTACTGGCTCGTGGCCTAGGCTAAGAGCCAGAGAGGGTACTACCAGCTGCTTCTCTAGTGACAGAGATTGGCAGAGCCTGGGGAAAGGGCTAGAAGTGAGAAAGCAACATTAGTCTATAATTTCCAGTGATGGTGGAAACTGTTAGTATTGTCTAGATTTTGTGCAAATAGGTGAGCTGGAAAAAAATCTGCCCTCTTCTTTTGTGGGAATAGGAGCTCCCACTTGGTCAATCATGTCAAAGGGCCTAGACACTATTCTTCCTAACTGTTGCTGGGCCTGGGTTTATAGGATGCACAGGCCGAGGAAGAGATCAAGCAGGAGATGAACACATTACAACAGAAGCTAAATGAGCAGCAGAGTGTACTTCAGCGTATTGCTGCTCCCAACATGAAGGCCATGGAAAAGCTGGAAAGTGTTCGTGACAAGTTCCAGGAGACTTCAGATGGTAACATTTGCATTCTCTTAAGGTTTTAGATGAGGGCAGAAAACTGGAGCACCTGTTGTTAGGTTATAATAGCTCCTGATTTGACATGTTCCTATAATTAAAACTTTCAGGTACCTAAACTGTGTGGGATATGTACTTGCTTTATAGAGGATAAATGACCTCCCCATGGTCACACAGCTGCTTGCTGGTAGAACCTGGTGACTCCGATGTTTATTCAATTCTAGTCCCGTATTTATTTCTCCAGCCTGCTGGATTCAGATTCTTGGGTGAAAGGGAGAACTTCTGCAGTCATTCCCTTCCATTTGTGGGGAGGTCACTGCTCTGGATTGTTCACAGGTCATTCTCAATAGGGTATGGTCCTCAGCCCTTGGCAGAACCCAAGGCACTGAGGGTTCATCTCTGTCTTCCTTCTGTCAGAGTTTGAGGCAGCACGAAAGCGAGCAAAGAAGGCCAAGCAGGCGTTTGAACAGATTAAGAAGGAGCGTTTTGACCGTTTCAATGCCTGTTTTGAATCTGTGGCTACCAACATTGATGAGATCTATAAGGCTCTGTCCCGCAATAGCAGTGCCCAGGTAGGCTGGAATCCCTTTCCTAACCAGCTCCTGCTATCCTCCAGTCACTCTTCTCAAGGCTGCTTGTCTCCCTGCCCGACGATTGAGATCCAATCTGGATCCCTTTTATCTTCCCCTAGGCATTCCTGGGCCCTGAGAACCCTGAAGAGCCCTACTTGGATGGCATCAACTACAATTGTGTGGCTCCTGGCAAACGCTTTCGGCCTATGGATAACTTGTCAGGTGGCGAAAAGACAGTGGCAGCACTGGCCTTGCTGTTTGCCATCCATAGGTAAAGCTCCTGCCCTCCCAGGGCATTGGTGGAAGACTAAACTGAGACTACCAGAAGTACTGGGGGCCACGGATGTGCAGAGATCTCAGAGGTGCAGATGTTCTAGTGATATCTGGATTGTATCTCTGTTTCCCTATTTACTACAGTATATCTGGCCTTGATTTTCCTGGACTGTCTTCCTCATCTATGCTCACCCATTCAGCATGTCCTCACTGGCCCTTGCATGTATTCAGTCCTACTTCCTGGCTTTTACTCACATGATCACTGCTAATAAGCCTTTTCTATGCAACTCTAGTTTGACTATTACTTTCCACCCCTTCATGACTTTTCTCCTTCCTCTAGGAAGCCATGTTGGACCTTTATAGAATACCCTGACTGCCCCCTCCTGAATGCCAGTAATACTTGACTCTGACCCCTACAATGGAGTGCTTGTTTATACAGCATCATCCATAAGCATTTTTCTTTCAGTCCTGGGGCTTGAACTCTGGGCCTGGTCGCTGTCCCTCAGCTCTTCAGCCAAGGCTAGCACTCTGCCACTTGCGCCACAGCGCCACTTCCAGTTTTCTGGTCGTTAATAGGAGATAGAATTTCACAGACAGCCAGGTGCCGGTGGCTCAGGCCTGTAATCCTAGCCACTCAGGAGGTTGAGATCTGAGGATCGAGGTTCAAAGCCAGCCCGGTCAGGAAAGACCGTGAGACTCCTGTCTCCAATAAACTACCAGAAAACCGGAAGTGGCACTGTAGCTCAACTGGTAGAGTGCTTGCCTTGAGCTGAAGAGCTGGGGGACAGCACCCAGGCCCAGAGTTCAAGCCCCATGACCTTCACACACAAAAAAAGAATCTCACAGACTTTCCTACCCAGGCTGGCTTTGAACCACAATCCTCAGATCTCAGCCTCCTGAGTAGCTAGGATTATAAGTGTGAACCACCAACACCCAGCTCCATAGGCATTTTTAAAGTGCTTCTCTATACCAGACCCTATGGAAGGATTGGAGACAATGAGTCAGACATGGTCTCTGGCCTGGATTTGCTCACAGACTATTGGAAACCAGACACACAGTATGCTAAGTATTGTATCTTGGTGAGCTTAGATGCTGTGAATACACAGAGGAAAGGCACCTAGCCCAATCTGGGGGAAGGTATATATGGGGTAGGGAAGACTTTTAAGGGCAAGTGACACAAGCAGGAATAAAAGGTTACCAGGGAGCCTATCAGGCATTCTAGACAGAGGATACTGCATGTGCAGAGGCAAGAAGCATGTAACATGATGTGTGTTGGGGGTGGAATAGATCTTTGGATAGTTTGTGTAGTATGACCAAATCTGAGGACAATTCTGTCTGCCTCCTTAGCTAACCCAGAAGATCTTGAGAGAAACATGTTTTTCATGGTTCTACAGGATCCTGGAGTATAGGTCTGAGTGCAGAGGTGGACTTGGTTGATGAAAAGGGCATTTAAGGGCTCAGACAACATTAAAAATTGGGTTATTGGTCTCAGATGAGTTGGAGGGGGAAGCTGGCTTATTTGAAGGGCATTGGGGCTATCACGACCTGCCTTGCCACCCAATCCCCCTCTCGGTATCAACTCACCTACTGGTTCCTTCCCAGCTACAAGCCAGCCCCCTTCTTTGTCCTGGATGAGATTGATGCTGCTTTGGATAACACCAACATCGGCAAGGTGGGTGCAAGGAAGGTGTGGCCTGGGAGGGAGGCCCCCAAATTGGGGCTGGGTTTTATGGAACATCTGAATGTGCTATAGCTGTTCCTGCTGCCTGTTCTCTGGGCCCAGGAAGGCTGGGCCCAGGGTCATTCACTCAGTAGTAGTTGATAGTATTTTCTCAGCCTCTCTTCCCATACCATCCATCGCCTCCCCCACCCCCTCTACCTATTAGTTCTGATGGAAGACACAGGAGTGTTAGGGCTTGAGCCCTGCTAAGTGCCTGGTGGCCCTCCCACAGGTGGCAAATTACATCAAGGAGCAGTCAACTTGCAACTTCCAGGCCATTGTCATCTCCCTGAAGGAGGAATTCTACACCAAGGCTGAAAGCCTCATTGGAGTCTATCCTGAGGTAGGGCGGGCCTGGCTCAGGAGCCAGTCCCATTCTCTGCCTAACTCCCCAAGGCAGGAAGGGAAAGCTTCAGTGAAGGGGCAAGGGGTGGCAGAACATTGGGAATCAGGTCCTGAACAGCCATCTGGGCTTCTTGGAGTCCTGCCCCAGCAGTTTAGGCAACCCTTTCAGGTAGGGCTGTTCCATTTGGGGATAAGCAGAGAGTCCAGCAGAGGCAGCCAGGCAGTGGAGAACGGTGAATACAGAGGCAAGTAGGGAGAGAAGGCACATGGGACCAAGCACACACTCTCATACCCAGAGAGAACCATTGCCTGGGCTTTGGGAAAGCATGTAGGGAGGAGGGTTTGAGACTCTTGTCATGGGGCTCTAGACCCCTCTTAATTCTCTACTTACAATTGTATTTTTCTTTTTTTTCCTTCCTCCTTCAGCAAGGGGACTGTGTGATCAGCAAAGTCTTGACCTTCGACCTCACCAAGTACCCAGATGCCAACCCCAACCCCAACGAGCAGTAACAGTACTGCCCTCTCACCCTAAATGGATCCCTAAGCCTCCCCCTCCCCATCTCTGGATAATTTAGATCCCAGATCTTCCCTTCCCTCCTGGCCCCTTTGTTATAGTCATGGGATTTAGGTACAGCTATCAAACACGAAGAGGAACAGAGGTGATGTTAGGTCTATCTGGAGGCAAATATCCTGAGCTACAGGGAACATCCTAGCTTCTGAAAGGAGGTGCTGAGCTGAGGTAGCCTAAGTTGAACAGGGCCATCTGTCCATCATCCCATCCTTTCCTGGACCTCTCCCTCTTTACCCATCATCATAGATCTCTTGGGCCCCTTGACCATAGTGTGTGTGGCGGTGTATATGTGCGTGCGTGCGTGCGTGTGTGTGTGTGTGCGTGCGTGCGTACGTGCGTGTGTGTGTGTTTGCAAAATAAGTCATTTGAGACCTGTTTTAGAAGGAACCTAGGCTGAATTTGATTCAAAGAGAGCTTAGGATGACAGCACCCCAGATATGGGCAAAGGTACTCAGGACCTCATAAGAGTCTTAGGCAGGGGGCTGGGAAGGTAGCTCAGTGGTAGAGCGCTTGCCTTGCATGCCTGAGGCCCTGGGTTCGATTCCTCAGCACCACATAAGCAAAAAGAAAAAAGCCGGAAGTGGCGCTGTGGCTCAAGTGGTAGAGTGCTAGCCTTGAGCTGAAGAGCTGAAGGACAGCGCTCAGGCCCAGAGTTCAGGCCCCACGACGGACCCCCAAAAAAAAAAAAAAAAAAAAGAGTCTTAGGCAGTCACCAGGCAGTCATTCGTGTTCTTGTTCATTTATTCATGTGTTCTTCAAACCCATACTGTGCATGCTATTTGTCAGGCTCTGTGCTTCAAATACTGAGTTGAATCAGATACAATGTCTGTCTACCTGGTATGGAGATGGGAGTGTGTCAATAAATTAGTGTGGTTAGCCAAATCTCATAAGTACTTTGAGAAGGGGATGATCATCTCCAGCTTCCTGGAGAAGGTCATGTTTGAGCTGGACCTTGACAAATTGGTAGGATTTGATCAGGCACTAGGAGCAGAGCATGGCTCTGTGGACAGAAAGTTATGAGCTCCAGTCCCTCTTCTTATCACTAGTTTGACACTGGCCCTTCTGTGCCTCAGTTCCCTCATCTGTAAAATGGGGCTAAAATATTACTACCTCATAGAATTTGATGATGTCAAGCTCCTCACTGGAGGTCTTATCTGTGTATGGAGCCCACTAGGGGCCAATCCCTCAGAATACAACCTTCTCGTGCCTGGACCCCTGAGGAATTCTGTTAGAGACAGATGCCCCCCAAATCTGGGACATGCTGATTTCCCTGGTTACTGGAAAAGTTCCAGGGTGCTTACCTGGTAAGTGGAAGGCCTGAGGAAACCTATAGCTTCAACCACATATGATAACTCGGTGCCAGGTCCCCAACCTGGGTCGTAAGGAACTAGGGGAAGAGATAGCCTGGTCCATATCCCAACCTAAATGTCTAAGTTCGTGCGTGCGCGTGTGCGTGCGTGTGTGTGTGTGTGTGTCCTCACCAACCCGGGTTTGTAAGGAACTAGGGGAAGAGATAGGAGATAGCCTGGTCCATATCCCAGCCTAAATGTCTAAGTTCGTGTGTGTGTGTGTGTGTGTGTGTGCGTGTGTGTGTGTGCGTGCGTGTGTGTGTGTGTGTCCTCACCAACCTGGGTTGTAAGGAACTAGGGGAAGAGATAGGAGATAGCCTGGTCCATATCCCAGCCTAAATGTCTTAAGTTCTTGTGTGTGTCTGTGTGTGTGTGGCCTCAGCCCCATTTCCAGCTTTTTCTGCATATGTGGTGCTGAGGAATCGAACCCAGGGCCTCATGCATACAAGGCAAGCACTCTACCACTAAGCCACCTTCCCAGCCTCTCTAAGTTCTTTTTTTTGTGGGTGGGGGTGGGGGTACGGTCGTGAGGCCTGAACTCTGGGCCTGGGTGCTGTCCCTCAGCTCTTCAGCTCAAGGCTAGCGCTCTACCACTTGAGCCACAGAACCACTTCCGGCTTTTTTCTTTTTGCTTATGTGGTGCTGAGGAATTGAACCCAAGGCTTCATGCATGCAAGGCAAGCGCTCTACCACTGAGCCACCTTTCCAGCCTTCTAAGTTCCTTTTTAGAACTGTCTTCATTAGTGGTAAGGACTATGCAGAGGTGGCAAAGCCTGGTGTCATAAATTCAGCCTCAACACATTCAAATATGTTATCACACTTGTCTTAGTGTAATCTGTATTTTGCTTTTTTGCTTTTTAAAAATTAAATCAGGGTTAGGGAAGTTGCTCAGTAGTAGAGTGAATGTTTAGGGTGTGAGGAGCCCTGAGTTTGATCCTAGCACCCCCTAGAAGAAGTTCTAATGATACAATTTTCTTTAAAAAATTGGATTGTTAGAGATAAAAGTAGCCTCATTTGACTGCTTACCACTCTCACCTGTTCTTTTACTTTAAACACCTGTTTATTGTACTTTATTCTAGACTTTAATATTCATACACAGGTCGCTTCTCTAAAAGTATTGTGTGTAATGCAAATGCTACTTTGGAGTTGTTCACAAAATTGCTTTCTTTGCTTAATAATGTTTTTGAGACTTATGCATGTTAAGATCAATGCATCCTCTTCATTCATGTGTCGTTTCTATAATGTGACAATATCATGTTACCATTTCTCTTGTGGATATTGACTATTTTCAATTTCCTATTACAAAGTACTACATAGGAGCAGCCCTATATCTCTGAATTTGTGTATGTATGAAAGCTTACCTAGGATTGATTCCTAGAAGTGAAATTTGCATAGTCATAGGATATTTATATATTGGTTCCTAATAGATATTTCCAAATTACCCTTCTGTCCTATTTACTCAGTATTTTCCCCAAGATGACCCAAAGTCTAACAGTATCCATCAACATCCATTTTTTTCTAAAGTAGTGACATCCATGAAATCAAGGATTTGATGTGCTAATTATGTGTTTTCTAATACATACTAAAGAATATAGCTAAACAAAAGAAGTTTTTTTGCAGTCAGCCAAAGAAGTCACATGAAGCCAGTGGTACATGTGCCATAATTTGGCAAATGCTGGCACAGTTTGTAGAAACTTGGGCAAATTACTTCACCTGTGCCTCAGTTTCTTAATTTTATAAAAGGAGATAATAGAGACCTACCTTGGGACAGTGAAGGGAAGATAATGTATAATGTATTTGAAGCCATTTGGCTGTTATATCTAAACCACAGCTTTTGTTTTTGTCTGTCATGGGACTTGAAGTCAGGGTCTGGGTGCTGTCTTTGTGCTCAAGATTAGCACTCTACCACTTGAGCCACAGCACCACTTTTTGGAGATGAGTCTCACAGGGACTTTTCTGCCGGGGCTGGCTTTGAACCGCAATCCTCAGATCTCAGCCTCCTGAGTAGCTAGGATTTATAGGTGTGAGCCACCGGTGACTGGCTAGACCACAGCTTTGTAAACATAGAGCTTGCTATTCATCTCCTTTAAAAATGAGAAAACTGAAGCCCCAAAAAGAGTTAAGTGACCTACTTGCCAGGTATAAGTTTGAAGCCAGGTCTTCTGATTAATTCTATTGCTTTTTCCATTATAAAAGTGTTTCTCAACATTGGCTATACATCAGAATCATTTATGAATTTTTTTCTTTTTCAATAAAACAGTAGGTACACTTATTTGAAAAAATAGTATAGAAGGGCTTAAAGTGAAAAGCAGCAGTTCCCTGTTGCACCCCCACATCAAAGGATGTAGCACTCTTTAAAAATGTATTGCTCTCTGGTCCTACCTCTGGAAATCTGATTCAATAGGTATGGATAATAACCCAGATAATTAACCCCCTACCTCACAGGATAGCTAAAAATTACATGACATACCTTGGGCTAAGACCCTGGAGCATAGGAAATAATGCCACAAAGGAGCTTTGAGGACTTAATTATTTAGGCTCAGGGAGGTGAGATGATTTGTCAAGAGATTCTAGAGGCAAGGCCTAGAAGTACTTCCACCCGGATCTCCTTAGTGCTTGCCCACTGTTCTGTTTCCCATCTTCTGTCATTGCAAGGCAAAATGTCAGGGAAGGACAGACATCATGTGTTTCTAAGGGCAAGTAGAATCCCTATGGCTTGTTGGAAGAACTAACTAGGTTGACTCCCTTAGACTCTGGATCCAGTTACTTTGATCTCTAGAGCATTGAAAAGTACTCCACAATAGTGTCTTTAATTGGGCCTTTTACTCTGGAAAGAAGTGTTGCACACCAGGAACACAATAGTAGTCAAATCTTTATTCTGCCTTTGACAAGCTCATTGTCTTAGTTGGAGAGGAATTCGTGACAGCTGTTACCCATACCATGTAATCAGCTCTGCTAGAGGCCTGGCAGGGGCATCTTAGCTTAGGTAAGAAAGGCATTCTTTAGAGGTTGACATCTGAACTGAAATTTGAGAGACTACCGAGGAATTTGCTAGATGAAGTAGGGAATTCCAGATGTGGGAGCAGTATTCACAAAGACCTGAAGACTAGAAACAAAACAATTTAGGAGTGCTGAAGCATAAATTTTTTAGAATAGGGGAAGAACAGCAAGAAAAAGCCAAAAGTAGTGAGGAACCAGGTTGTAAGAGGGTTAAGTTCCTGGCTAGAGTTTAGATTTACCAAAATCGAACAGTGTGGTTTTCATACTGTCTACATCAGAAGAAACATGGCCATTCTGTGCTCCAACCTCAGTAAACATTTAAATGGGGTTGGGTGTCAATCTTAAGTACTTATAAAGATTGCCATTTGACTACTGTGTGGCAGGTTTAACAACCATAGCTTGAAGGCAGGGAGGGATCTAAGAGACCTAGGAGGGAGCTTTAGATCAGATACGGATTTAACCCATTTCTGGCCAGCTAGCCCAGGTGGGAATGGGTTAGGTTAGATGTTCATGGTGTGTGCACTTGGGCCTGCAATTTCTCTTAATATTCAACCTCTCACTATTGTATTTGCTTATTTTATCTCTGAATAAGTGTAAGCATGACAGCACTAGGCCTGGAGATACTAACATACCCCTGTAATGAGTCTAGTGCCCGACACAACAGGCATTTGGTTTTTCTGAATGAGTAAATGAATGAATGCATGAATGAATGTATTTGTGAGGAAGAGAATGGAGATGGAGATTAGGAGACTTGAAAAGACGGACAAGGGCAGTAGGAATAAATTGGAGGTGACAAGCTTTGAGCTATTAAGATGGTGAACTGGACTTGAATGTGGAAGGTGACTGGGCAGAATGAATACACAAACAGCCAAGATCCTTACCCCTATCCCCGTTGTCTCTCCTCTTTCTCTTCCTCATCTGTCTCTGAATTAGAATTTCCTAGCTTCAGCACCCAGAACCCCTCTGTCAATTTAAACATTCTGTATGTTATGTGATCTCTACTCCTCAAGCCCCAGTTACTGATTCATCCAGTTCAATAAATCTTGGCTCAGTACCTCCTGTGTGATATGAGTCTCTATTCAAGCTAGGAGTCTGTCTCCCTCTTACCTCAAGAGATGTTGAGGGCTCTCCCAGGTAAGACATATCCCTTATCCGATAATATATGGTAAGGTTCCTGGAAAGTCTGAGACTGCCCAACTCCCTATCTGAGGCCCAGGGAAAGTATTAACTTCCTCAGGTCCCACTGCTAGGCAGTTTTGGAGCCAGGACTGGAACCCAAATTCTCTTTCTCTATCTCCTCTAGAACTTTAATCTGTTTCATAGCAGGCTTAGGTGGTCAGGGAGGTGAGACATAGATTGAACCTTGAAGGTCAGTATACTGGAATAGTCCAGACAAGATGCCAATTACACCACCACCTCCTGGAAACGCTCAACAAGCCTACCATACTTGCAATCCCTTTTAAAGGGTTACTTTAACATAATTTGCTACGCTCTGTACCATGTGACCTCACTGTCCTGACCATAGATGACTAGATTGGGATAGCATCTGACGCATGGCAACTGATCTCTAGTCTGGCCAGCAGCCTATTAGGTAGTGGCTTACCACTGTAAGCAACATATTAGGTAGACTGTGTATATATCACCCACTTCATAGGGGTGATATATATCTAATGGTAAATGCATGAAACATCATTCAGGAGGCTAAATGTGGTATTCAGAAGAAGTGAACTGCTGATTATAGAGTATATTAAGACAGAAGGCAGTTGAAAGGTGTCCAGAAACTTAAACAACAAAAGCAGAGGGAAAGCTGTAGAGATCTTAAGTCATTCAATATTTGTGTCATGAGGTCATGGGGCCACAAGGTAGCAGAAGCTGTGAAACTAAAAGGCAACAGTGGGCTGGAAGGATGGAGAAGCTATGAAGCAATAAGAGCCGTGAGGAAAAGAAACCATAAGACAAAGCATGGGCAATCCATGAAGCAGCAGAACGCTTAATAGACAAGATCCATGAGGCAGCACAACAATGAGACAAGTACCACAAGGCAACAAACCACGTGGCAGCAAGGCAACAGGAAGGGAAGAAGCAGCAGGAGTTCCAAAACAAGAGGAAACTACAAAGAATCCTAAAAGCCAAGAAGCTGCAGGAGCCAGGAGGCCTAGCAACTGTGAGGCAGCAAACATCATGGGCTAGCAATGAAGCGAGCAGAAAGAAGTTAGTCAGCAGTAGGAGTATAAATGCAGCAAGAAAGTAGTTGAGTCACCATTTTGGGAAGCACTAGAAAAGGGGCAACAGATGCCTTTAGCTGAGGGTGACAAGATAAACCAAGCTTTAGAGCTGCTTTGGATCATGAACCATTTTCAAGTTTTTGGTCTTCCAGGAAGCTGCCTGTATAACTCTTCTCTTATTTCCTTTTGAGTGCTTTAATAAATCCCAATCACTAACCTGATTGTGTCTTTGTTTCTTGTAACCTGAAAGAGATTAGCACTGGTGTGCAATTTAGATGAGGTAGGAATTTATTTTTTTTCTCTTATGACTTCACTGGCACTTGCACCTTACATGCAATTACTGGTTTTATTTTCCGCATATGTCTAATCATGTGCTAACTCATAACTGATTGGCTTGTATACTTATGCATCAATATCAGCACTTACTCAGTTGTTCATTTGTTCTTTCCTATCTTCACTCACATCATTTTTTTCCATCCATTTGTTCTACAAAGCGACAAGCATATGTTGAATATTTTCTGCATATCAGTCATTTTTATGGAAAATGTACTCCCTACCCTCAAAGAATTCAGTTAGGGACTCAAGTGCTCTAAATGTGACAGCTGATAAAACAGCAGCCTAGATGAGACATATGGGAAGCACTGGAGGGTTCTTCCTGGGGTGGGGTGGGGTGGGTGGTCTGGAGGAATTAGGATGCCTTAATAGAGGAGGGAATACTTGAACTGAGTTTTCAAAGGAATTGGTGTTCACTATGTATGCAGGAAAGAACATATCAAGCAAAGAGCTGCCTAAGCAAAGTTATGTGAAGAATGTGGAAGTATAAGGATTTTAGAGGGAACTTAGCATTGTTCCATTCAGTAAAGTGCAACAAAGCCTAGTTTTAATCCTATAAGCAGTAGGAAGCATGTTGGAGGGTTTCAGGTAAGGAAATGGCAGGTGTATTAGGAATGTCATTCTGGTAATTAGTGCAAAAGAAAGTTGGGGGCATTAAATACTGGCCTAATTTTTTTTGGGGGGGGAGGGGGTCACAGGGCTTGAACTCTGGGTTTCAGCCCTGTCCCTCAGCTCTTCAGCTCAAGGCTAGCGCTCTACCACTTGAACCACAGAGCCATTTCCAGTTTCCTGGTGGTTTATTGGAGCTAAGAGTTTCACAGTCTTTATTTTTGGCAGTCGTGGGGCTTGACCTTTGGGTCTGGGTGTTGTCCCTCAGCTCTTCAGCTCAAGGCGAGTGCTCTACCACTTGAGCCACAGTTCCACTTCTGGTTTTCTAGTGGTTTATTGGAGATAAGAGTCTCAGGGATGTTCCTGCCCCGGCTGGCTTTGATCTATGATCCTCAGAGCTCAGCCTCCTGAGTAGCTAGGATTACAGGCGTGAGCTACTAGCGCCCAGCTGAATTTCACAGTCTTTCCTTCCTGGGCTGGTTTTGAACCACAGTCCTCAGATCTCAACCTCTTGAGTAGCTAGGATTAAATATTTGAAGAGGCATGACTTAGGACTTCTGGAATCTTGAGAATGGAAAGAAATTCTACCAGGGGAACAAGTTTTTTGAGCAGATAGAATTACAAATAAGGTTTAAAGGGAGGATTCAAATGTGGGGATGAAGGGTTTTCCAAGATTGGGAGACAAGAAATGGGGAATAAATATTCCCTATTGGGGTTTATGAGTATTCCAGTTTCTAGCAGGGAGTGTAGTTAAAGGATTAGCAGGCTGTAAGTCTTCCTAAATACTATATTCCAATGACAGATATGGGCAAGGGGAGTTAGGGAAGAGGAAAGGGATAAGGCATAAGTGTCCTTTTTGTGCTTTTAAATATTTTTTTCAAATGTTCATTTAAAAAGAATGCATACATATTATTAAGGAGACATCAGTGCAAAAGTATAATGAAGTGTCCACCGTCCCACACATCTACATCTCCACTCTCACTTTTGGCTCCCACTTTCAGTTATTTCTTGTAATTGTTTTTTTTTTTTTTTAATGGTCCAGTCGTGGGGCCTGAACTCTGGGCCTGGGCGCTGTCCCTCAGCTCTTCAGCTCAAGGCTAGTGCTCTCCCACTTGAGCCACAGCACCTCTTTCTGCTTTTTTCTGCTTATGTGGTGGTGCTGAGGAACTGAACCCAGGGCCTCATGCATGCAAGCAAGCACTCTACCACTGACCCAGCTTCCCAGCCCCTGTGGTCATTGTTTTTAAATTGCCAATTTCAGACATTACACATCGAAGTTCTCTGTGGCACATGAGAATTCAAATAATTTTTTCCTATCAGATAACGTTCAAGTAGCACCTTTATTTTTTGTTCTATGAGCAAGAGACTATCATGACCAAAATTTTGTTTGATAAGAAAATATTCTTTTATTAGCCCCCTTTCTTACCATTAGCCAACCAACTTCTGTCCTCTGCCCTTTTTTTGCCGGTTGTGGGGCCTGAACTCTGGGCCAGGGCACTGTCCCCTCAGCTCTTCAGGTCGAGGCTAGCGCTCTACCACTTGAGCCACAGCGCCACTTCCAGCTTTTTCTGCTTATGTGATGCTGAGGAATCGAACCCAGGGCCTCCATGCATGCAAGGCAAGCACTCTACCACTGAGCCACTTTCCCAGCCCTGTCTTCTGCCCTTCTATAGTAAAAGCTGATAACATTAAATTATATTCTGTAATCATGATTGATGTTTTTGTATTTTGTCGATGATCCTAAAAGTTGGAAAAGCAACAAACAGCTATTAATATTAACATGACTAGTATGCTTCCTTCTAGAAGTAAATGTAATAATTCTTCCTTGTAGTAAATCTTTTTCCTGATTTTTTAACTCCTTTTCCCCTCTGTTACTGTTTTATCATATATTCCTTTTTTTTTCTTTTCAAAGTCTCCATTACACTAAAAATTCCACTAATAATCTTTAATAATAGTCTCTTTTTTTCTTTTTCTTTTTTCTAGTCCTGGGGCTTAAATTCAGGGCCTGGGCATTGTCCCTGAGCTGCTTTTGCTCAAGGCTAGCATTCTACCACTTACGCCACTGTACCACTTCTGGCTTTTTCTGTGTATGTATGAGGAAGTGAATCCAGGGCTTTTTTTTTTTTTTTTTTTTTTTTAAGTTGTGGGGCCTGAACTCTGGGCCTGGGCACTGTCCCTCAGCTCAAAGCTCAAAGCTAGCTCTCTACCACTTCAGCCACACTGCCAGTTCTGGCTATTTCTGCTTATGTGCTGCTGAGGCATTGAACCCAGGACCCCATGCATGCTAGGCAAGCACTATCACTAAGCCACATTCCCAGCCCCACAGCACCACTTCTGGACTAGTTGCTTTCTAAGACTTAATACACAAGCTATCATTTTTGGGTTCCCTTCACTGCTTTCTGTAATTATATTCACTATTTACTAGTTGCAAAAAAAAAAAAAAAAAAACGTGGGCTGGGAAGGTGGCTCAGTGGTAGAGCGCTTGCCTTGCATGCCTGAGGCCCTGGGTTCGATTCCTCAGCACCACATAAGCAAAAAGGAAAAAACTGGAAGTGGCACTGTGGCTCACGTGGTAGAGCGCTAGCCTTGAGCTGAAGAGCTGAGGGACAGCGCCCAGGCCCAGAGTTCAGGCCCCAGGACCGGACCCAAAAACAAAAAAAAACAGAACGTGCATTTTTTTGGTTGGTTGTGGGACTTGAAGTCTGTGCTTGGGTGCTGTCCCTCAGCTCTTCAGCCCTACCACTTAAGCCACAGCACTTTCCAGTTTTCTGATGGTAAATTGGAGATAAGGTCTCACTGATATTCCTGCCCAGGCTGGATTTGAACTGCGATCCTTAGATCTCAGCCTCCTGAGTAGCTAGGATTACATGTGTGAGCCACCAATGCCTAGTCAAATATTTTTTTTGTTGTGAAAATACCACACAGAGGGGTTACAATTACATGGGCAAGGTAATGAGTGCATTTCTTATCAAGCATTGTTGCCTCCTCCTTTGTATCCCCTTCCCATCCCTTCCCATCTCCCCCCCCCCACTCCTCCACCCCCCCAGACCACCCCCCCACCCCTGCAGTCAAAATTTTTGTTTTGATTATTTCTCCCCTTTTTTTGGCCAGTCCTGGCACTTGAACTCAGGGCCTGAGCACTGTTCCTGAGCTTTTTGCTCAAGGCTAGCATTCTACCACTTGAACCACAGCCCTAATTCCTTTCCCATTGTTTTTGATAGGAAACATCTTGAAGTAACTTTCTCAGAAAGATTGAAAATATTCCATCCTCACATTAGGCTATAAAGTTTGAAGCTCATTATCACTTTACCACACACCTTTGAGGAAATTGCTCCCCCTTTGGTTGTGGGGCTTGAACTCGGCCTGGGCGCTGTCCCTCAACTCCAGATCCAGGCAAGTGCTCTACCACTTGAGCCACAGCACTATTTCCAGTTTTCTGGTGGTTAAATGGAGATAAGAGTCTCACAGGGCTGGGAAGGTGGCTCAGTGGTAGAGCGCTTGCCTTGCATGCATGAGGCCCTGGGTTCTATTCCTCAGCACCACATAAGCAAAAAGAAAAAAGCCGGAAGTGGCTCTGTGGCTCAAGTGATAGAGCGCTAGCCTTGAGCTGAAGAGCTGAGGGACAGTGCTCAGGCCCAGAGTTCAGGCTCCACGACTGGACCAAAAAAAAAAAAAAAAAAGAGTCTCACAGACTTTACTGCCTGGGCTGACTTTGCACTGTGATCCTCAGATCTCAGCCTCCTGAGTAGCTAGGTTTACAGGCATGAGCCACTGGCCACCGGCACTCCATTTTTGTTTGTTTCACTTTGTTGGTCTAGCTGGTTTCTAACTCCTGGGCTCAACTGATTCCCCATGTAGATGTAGATGTAGCTTCCCAAGTGTTAACGGGCACAACCCCATTGCCTCCAGTTTCTTCTGATATCCAATTTGATAATAAGACATGAGTTAAATTGCTTTATAGATAAGTTTTTTTCCTTCCTGGACCACAAAATATAAGTGCTAGTTATTTTTTTTAACAGTGTCACAGGTTTCCCCTGTTCATCCTCCCGTCTACTTTTTTTTGTTCTTCAGATGACTAATTTTTATTTGTTCTGTCTTCAGGTTCCTCTGTCCTGCCCATTTTGCTG